TTTTTTTTTTTTTTTTTTTTTTTTTTTTTGTACTGGGGATTGAACTTGGGTCCTTGCGCTTGCGAGGCAGGCGCCAGAACCACTAAGCTAAATCCCAGCCTCTTCCTTGTAATTTTGATATGCCTAGTCAATGGGAACTGTTTGGCAATCTCTGTTAGAGATTTTTCATAAATTCCATCTGATAACATTTCTTTCAGAATGTGGAAAGGGACTAAAGAAAACCTTTGCCCCACCAACACAAAAATTGCATAGTATGATACCTTGTGGCCCTGATTTACCCATGGAAACTCTGGGAATCAGTTCCCCAGAAGCTGAGGTGAAGCCAAGCCTACCAAAGGCTAGGCTAGAGAAGAAGAAGGAGGAGGAGGAGGAGGAGGAGGAGGCAGCCACAGAGCATGGTCCAAGTCTTGGCCAGGACAAGAAAAGAAAGGCTCGAGACAATAAGCCTGCAGAGAAGAATGAAAAGGTATAGGTCACATTGACAGGCTCTCATGGGACAGTTCTTCCTCCTACTCTGCCTCCCACCCAGGCTAGACTGACAGAATTTTTTCACATTGGGGAAATTGATCCTGTAGTTTCCAGTTTTTGTTTCTTTCGTTGAACTTCTATTTTCTTCTCAGAGACAAAAAATGCTTTTAATAAAAGCATTTAGCCAGAAATGATGGGATGAGGTGGGGTAGAGATGGGAGTAGAAGTAGACAGAGACTTTATAAAGGGTTTCCTTTCCTTTGAGTCCTTCATTCCCAGGAGATCTGGGATAAAGGTTATGTTCTCCTTAGGTATATTGACTTTATGCTTTTAGCCTTGTGAACCTCCTGCTGCAACAGAGGAGATAGCTATGAAAAAAATAAACAGTTTTCCTTTCTTATCCTTGTCTTTTCAGGAAAAATTAATTCTTACCAATGCAGAATTTGAAGAGATTGTCCAGACGGTGCTACGCAAGTCCCTTAAGGAGTGCTTGGGTATGGCGTATAGTGAGAGATAAAGGATTGCAGTTATGCAAAGTGACTGTTGTAAGAGGGGCAGCATAAGTTTGACAGCTTCTCTCCTCCTCTTCCAACTTCCTAATAAGGAAATACTAGATGAAACTTTGAAATACTTCATATTCTATAAATAGGGGCCAGTAAATAGAATTGTAGCTAAATCACCATAGATAAAGGGTATAGATTTTTAGAGTACATTGACTTCAGAGTAAATAGTCTCACCTAAATCTTTAAATGAAATTTGAATTCATTTTTATGTTTTTACAGTCTACTTACAAAAGATAAATTGCTTCCCAGGTTGAAGAACTTAGTCTCCATCTATTCTTATATATTTATGTGTTTAATAACTGATTTAACATCCACTCAGGGATTTTCTTTGATTTTTCTTTGATTTTTTTTTTGAGACAGGGTCTCGCTATACAGTTGCAACTGACCTGGAACTCACCATGTAGCCCAGGCTGGTCTCGAACTCATAGCAATCCTCCTCCCTCAGCCTCCCGAGTGCTGGGATTACAGGCATGCGCCACCATGCCCGGCTCTGGGATTTTGTTTTTTGTTTTTTGTTTCTGTTTTGTTTTTGAAACAGGGTCTCACTATGTAGTTGAGACTGACCTGGAACTCACTTTGTAGCCCAGGCTGGTCTCGAACTCACAGTGATCCTCCTGCCTCAGTGTCCTGAGTGCTGGGATTACAGGTATGTGCCACCACGCCCAGCTGAGGGTTTTATTTTTTAAAATAAAGAACTGTATAGTATAAGGCCCTGAGACCTTCTGCATAAGGTCATGAAGCCAAGTGGAATGATCTGACATCTCAGTCATTCTTAGGTGTACTTTTATTCCTAGGAGGAGTTGGAAGAAAAATGATACACAATGCAGAGCATACAATTTTTTATATGTACAAAATAAAATTATCATTATCTGGCTATCATGGAATGAGGAAGATCAATCAGGAAAGGCTTACAGAAAGATCTAGGTTTTAATTTTTCCTGAAACGTTAAAGCTAAAGGTTCTATCATCTGATAAGAGGCCATATGTAGGCTCTTCCAGAAAACAGGGAAGAGTAGAAAATATTGGAGTACTGTAGTTGTTTTCTTTTTATGCTTCTTTGCTTTGAATATTTTGTTTTGGGAGGGATGGGATCTGGCCTTAATTTTGCAGAGACTTCCTGTGTAAAGCCTACAATGTGTATCCAGTCAGACAAAGAAACAGAAATTGCTGCTTCTGCTACTGATGATGACATTGCCAGTGGGTAAGTTGATCCCAGAGTGGCTTGTAGAACACAGGGCAGATTTATAATTTGTAAATGGTGATCTATTTATTTGTTATATTTCTATTGATTTCTCTCAGCTAAAGAAAAATAACTGGGCTAGAGGAAAAATAGGCAAGTAGATGGGTAAAATAACCTCAGGAGGCCTTGGTGAGCCTAGAATTGTTTTCTTTTTGGTGCTAGGGATTAAATTTGGACCTAATGCTTATTAAGCATGTACTTAGCTGTATGCCCCAGCCCAAAGCCTAGAATTCTATCTTTTACCATTGGGTTCTTTCAAAAGATTGGCATAGATGTTTCTCCCTTTTAACTTTTCATTTAAAATATATCATTTTCAGGGAAAGTGTAATGGTACCTCAGGTGCCAGAGATTTCAGCTTCTCTGAAAGATGAAGTTACCCCTGATAAAGGGGCATCTGAGCCAGGCCTGGCAATTCTTGCATCCTCTGAGAAGAAACATAATAGACTCTACTTAAACAAAAGAAAGAAGCAAGCTCGTAAGTATAGTCAAATACACATTGATGGCTCAAGTACTTACTTCAGGAATTAGAGACTAGGATAATAAGCAGGCTGAGAAATTTCAGCTCAGTGCTTACAACTGTTTGACTATGATTCTTTTACTTGTCGATAAAGATTTTATTCATCTCTCCGATTTACCATATTTTGTTTTATCTTCCCAGAAGATGAGAAAATGGAAACAACCCAAAGTGGAAGTGAGTACAGACAGACAGATCAACTAAATAACATGATTCAGAATCGTTCTCAGACCCAGACCAGGGTCCAGAAAAAAAGAAAGGGAAGTGGTTTTGGTGAGTTGAGCCATGGTTTGGAAAACCAAGTTAGGTTGAAAAGTTGAGACAAAGACAGAAGCAAGGGTTAAAATGTTAGTGAAAACTCTGTAAATTCTATAATTTATATTTCACACTTACTTTTTAGTGGATATATTGATGAAGAGGGAGAAATATTTTATCTAGTCAGTCATTTATTCACATAATCCATAGTTACCGGATATCTGCTATGTGCCAGATGTTCTACACGGTGCCCAGAAAGAAAACTAAGATGAGACCTGAAAGGTAGTAGAAAAATTTGGAAAGTGTACTGTCACAGATGGCAGGAGAAGAGAGAATTTTAAGAAAGATGGAATGGTCAGCCATCTCACATGTTACCCTAGAAAAGTCAAAGAGGAAAATGGTTTGAAAATTCTCAAGGATATCACAATTAGGAAGTTACTAGGGTCTTGGTCATAGCTGCCACATGGGTTGGTAAGGGTGAATGGCAGGTTATAATTAGTTGAAGAGTAAACACTTTTCAGTTAATATAGATGTGAAAAGAAAGAAGAAGAAATGATACATAAAAGGGAGTGAGTGGAGAGTTGTGGGAGAGAGTTATTTTCTTATAATTTTCTTTTAAGAGAGGGTTTGGCTGGGTATAGCTCAGTGGTTCCACCGCCTGCCTCACAAACACAAGGTCCAGAGTTCTATACCTGGTACCCCCCCCCAAAAAAAGTGCTGCGTAGAGTGCTTGTCTAGCATGTGCAAGGCATAGGTTCCACCCACAACACTGAAAATAAAATAGAATAAGAGAGTGAAACAAGAGCAATTTGGGTATACTTATATGTTAAAGGAAAGAGAGGAAAAGACTGAGGAAATAGGAATGGGAAGAGATTCAGAGATTTATTTTCCTCAGAAAAAAGGACACTTTAGCTCTGAAGACCAAGTGGTGGGAGTGTAAGGATACCCTGTATATGGATTCACTTACTCATTGGTTTGCTTTTTCTTTTTCCTTTGGTGCTGGGTTTTGAATCCAGGACTCTACCACTGAGCTATGTCACCAGCTCATTATTCTAACAGTAGACAGTATCATACTAGGTATTGTACTGGTTTCTAGAAATAAAAGGATGAGCAAATTCGATAGCCCTTCTTTTGTAGAATTTACAGTTTAGTGTACTAAACGTAATATATGAAATAAGGTGACATTGGGACATTTAGTGACAAGAAATAGATCTTATATTAGTAAGTTCAAAAATTAATTAATAACAATCTGGCCAAAAAGAGACTTGCACCCAGAAAAACCCCAAGGCAGGGGCAGATTTAGTTCAGTGGTGCTGCCTCCTGCCTTGCAGTGCAAGCTCTTGAGTTAGGTCCCTGGTACCAAAAAAAACCCCACCAAAAAACAGAAAAACACAAATTGAAAAATTATAGTAAAAAAAGAACCCAAAGTATAATAAATAGTGGAATAAAACATCAGTTAATACCATCTATCTATATTCATACATATATTAAAAGCATAATATGATTTACATATCCTTGGAAGAAAACCCTAGAATGGATAGACACCAAACAAGGTAGTCCGGGTCAGTAAACAATTTCTCTTATTAAAATGACATGGTAGCATAAGGATCTAAAAGTATAATTTGGACAGTAAGGTGGTCGGAAGCTGAGATCACTCTAAGGGAGATTCTAGATAGGTTCTTTTCTAGAAAACTGAAAAGTTTTTACTCAGATATTCCTGTTGAGAACTTTTGGAATACTTCAGACATCTCAAGTTAGCTCACAGAAACTTGTGTCATTAGGTTTATGTTGCCTGACCTCCTGTACTGAACCTTTTTCCCAAGGACTAGGCTTTAGGCTAGCAGATGGGAATTCATTCTCTAGGTGGCGCTTGCAAGTTGAATTATGTCTGCAGTGATTTTGTTAGCCTCTTGCTATCAAATGAACCATTTTTCCTGTTTCTCACAATTGCAAAGGCCAGGAGGGTCCTCTTGAAATAGGAAATAGAAACTGTATCCAGTAAGTACAGTTTACATTAAGCACTGTGAAGGAAAAGAACAGATGTCATGAGAGGAAATAATGGAGACTAAGAAAAATTGGACTAGTCAGGGAATACATTGCTAAGAAGATCTTATTTTAGCTGAAACCTAAAGCAGGAATAGAAATTATCCAAGTGAAGAATAGAAGAAGAGAGATTTTTTTTTGTTTGTTTGCTTTTTTGAGATAAGTCTTGCTGTGTAGTACAGGCTGGCCTTGAACTCACTGTGTAGCTCAGGCTGGCCTCAAACTTGAGATGATCCTCCTGCCTCAGCCTCCTGAGGCTAGGATTACAGATGTGCACCACCACATCTAGCTAGGAAAGAGTTTGAGGTGGGAGAAATTTGGCATACTAAAAGAAAGCCTGTGTGATCAGAGTTTAGATCAAGTTGGGAAAGTAACTCTAGGAAAATAGAGATAGGCAGTCGCTTAATTAAAGGAAATGTTGCAAAGAGCACAAAGAAGGAAGCCATTAGATTTTAACTAGGAAACAAGGTCATCAAATTCATGTTTTCAAATGATCCTTTGGGGATTAATTGGATAATGGAATAAGTATTGAGGAAAGAGTTGAAAAATTTGTGCTAGCATCATAAATTAGAAATAGGATTAGTTGTTTTGGTGGCTTGGGTTAAGGTGATGAAAATAGAAAAGTGGATGGATTTGGAGGTAAGATTGTCAGAACTTGGTGGTGAGTGGGATATTGGGCACTGGGAGAGAGAAGAGGATTTGTCAAAGATGATTAGTTTCTGGTTTAAGCAATTACATGAAAGGAAGTGGAAAAGAGTAGGAGAAAAGCACATTTGTGGAATATGAGTACCTATTCAAGTTTGGACACGGTGAATTTGAGATCCAGATAACTGATTGAGATATGAAATCACCAAACTAGAGATGTTGGGTTTGGGAATGTAGTCCTGTGATAGATAGAGCATGTGCTTAGCACTTGCTTAGTATGCATGAGGCCCTGAATTCAATCCCCAGCACCACTAACAAATAAAAAATAGAGATAGGAAAGAGCAAGGCAGGCTGGGTGTGGTGCTGCAAATCTGTAATGTCAGCACTGAGTGAGCCTGAGGTAGGAGGAGTGCAGGTTTGAGCCCAGCCTGAGCAACTCAGCAAGACTGTTTTAAAAAACAAACAAACAAACAAAAATAGGCTGGGGGTGTAACCCAGTGGTAGAGCACTTGCCTAGCAAGTATCAGGCCCTGGGTTCTATCTGCAATACTGAAATAAAATAAAATGGAATGAAATAAAATAGCAAAGTGCATTTGGAACTCAGAGTCTAGAAGTACACAGCTATGTGCTGTTAGGTATGAAATGGATTAGTAAAGAGAGAAGGCCCTTGATTAGGCTGGAGAACCCTGATACTTAGAGACTGGATAGGAAATATAATTAGTAGATGAAACTGAGGAGGAAGCTTCCAGAAAGATGAGACAGGACAGAAAAATAAGAAACCACAGAACCCAAGAAACAAGTGTTTCAGGAGTGAGTGGTCAACTGACATGCTAATATATATTTATGACATCAGTCTTCATTATCAAAGAAGGATGCACATAGTGAGTGTCAGTTTTCTAGTTTTCTAAGATAAGGAAAGGAAACTTAAAAAAAATTTTTTTTAGAAGGCTGCCTCTGGCTCCTGATTTCACAGCCATTCAGTACAATGAGCTCCAAAGAGATAGCACCAGGGCAAGTGAGAGCCAAGCAGGCACTGGGCAACTCTGTGCCTCGCTGAGGAAGAGACAAGTAAACATGGGCAAAGGAGATCCTAAGAAGCTCTGGGGGCATAATTTCATCATGTTTATTCTTTGTGCAAATGTGCTAGGGGGAGTGCAGGAAGAAGCACCCAGATGCTTCCGTCAACTTCTCAGAGTTGTTTTTTGGTACCGGGGGTTGAACTCAGGACCTTGAGCTCGTGAGGCAGCCAGCAGCACCACTGAGCTAAGTCCCTCTCTTCTCAGAGTTTTTTTTTTTAACAAGTGCTCAGAGAGGTGAAAGACCATGTCTACTAAAGAGAAAGGAAAATTTGAAGACGTGGCAAAGGCAGACAAAGCCTATTATGAAAGAGAAATGAAAACCTATATTCCTCCTAAAGGAGAAACAAAAGAAGTTAAGGGATCCCAGTCCACCCAAGAAGCCACCTCTGGCCTCCTTCTTCTGTTCTGAGCATTGCTCAAAATCAAAGGAGAACACTTTGGCCTGTCCATTGGTGATGTCACAAAGAAACTGCGAGAGACATGGAATAACACTGCTGCAGATGACCAACAACCATAAGAAAAGAAGGCTGCTAAACTGAAGGAGAAAGGCTGCTAAATGGAGAGGACATCACTGCCTATCCAGCTAAAGGAAAACCTGATGCAGCAAAAGAGGGAGTTGTCAAGGCTGAACGCAAGAAAAGGAACAGGAGGAAGATGAAAGGGTTGAGGAGGAGGAAGATGATGATGAATGATTTGGTTCTAGCAGTTTTTTTCTTGTCTACAGAGTATTTAACCCCCCTGTACACAGTGTGTTTCTTTTAAAGAAAAAAAATGGAAATGTGCGATTTGTTTTTAAACTGTACAATGTCTCTTTTTTTTGGTATGGTTAACACACTACTGAATGTGTGTTTAGATAGCCCTGTCTTGGTGATTTTTTCAGTAGCCACCAACCTTGCCTGATACAATATGGGGATTGTTTCTTGGCAGGAAAATTTAAAGCAGGTTCTTGCTGGTGCACAGCACAAATCAGTTACAAATGGGGACAGTAGTTTTTCATCTTTATTTGTCTTTGATGAAGTGTATACGATGAAATAATTGTTGTGGTATCTGAATACTATGCACTTGCAAAAAAAGTTGCAGCTCTTTTTTTGACATTCTGAATGCTTCTAAGTAAATACAATTTTTCATTAGTTGAAAAAACTTTAAATTCTGTATGATCCTGTCACTGGAAATTTTATCTCAAGCCATAAACAATCAGTTATATATCAGGGTGATATCTTTGCATTTATTTTCTTATAAATAGTACCTCATAATGAACCATTTATTTTATTGATCTATATTAGCTTTTAAGGTCCCCAGCTCCTGCACCTATAGTTATTTTTCTAGTCTTGCTAGGTCACCTCTATAAATATCCAAAATTATCATTGGCAATGGTCATTTCTGACTAATATATCATTCCCAACCAGTACTTTGTTTTTAAATCAAAATAATTGAGAAAGTAACCCATAATATGTGCTATTTTAAAAGGACTTAAATATAAGTTGCCTTATTTTTGAGGGATTTTGGTGGGGTAGGGTCATCCCTTCTGTTCGAGCACTTAAGGTACCATCTGACAGTAGGAAACAAATTCACTGGAGAAATACATTGGTTGATATTAACTGTGAATATATCACTATTTAAGTGATTTTTCTCTGACAACTCATTTGCATCAGCATAAGCACAGAATAGGTAGAATGTCAGTTCTTTTAGGGTGGAGTTTTGCCCATCTCGTCTCAGTGCAAGAAAGTTCAGAAGGGAAGGGAGTTGAGGTATCTGGAAGAGTCATAGATTCAAAGCTGATTGGTCAGAGTGAAGAACAGAGGTGGCAAGGACTGGAGAAGCCAACAGATTGGAGAGTAAGATGAAGTGAAAGTTGTGGGGCAACTTTTGAACAGGTGAGGTGGGAGGATAAGGCATTTTTATCAGAGAGGGTGTTTGGGTAAGTGACTCAGAGGGTGTGAGTCCCAGCAGAAGACTGGTTGGGGCACATGGGTGTGAGAATGCATTGCTGAGGTGGCATGGAGGAAAAGTTCACAGAACTGAGAATAGGGGGCTTTATGAATTACTTCTGTGAATATGATGGTCATCTAGACCAAAGGCTGAAGGTGCAAAGGAGGAGGAAACCAAGCTGGATGCCAGCATCTTTGTGAGAGAGATACAAGGGTGGTAGAGTCCTACAGCATGGATCTCAAAGGAAAGCGTTTTTATAAAAGTGAGAGGGGTAGTGACCGTGGGAGTAAGGATGTGGCCTCATTTTCTGTCCTGAGATGTGGGGGTGTGAAAAGGAGCAGACTCCACTTGGGCTGGGGTGGGGTTGCATGGGGACAGTGTCGTGTGAATCTTCAGGTTTCAAAAAGGAGGCAGAGGTTCAGAAAAGAGGCTGATGATACCTGGTGTTAGTTGTTCAAGCCTGTTCATCTTCACAGACTACATTGGAAGAGTTTGGGAGGGAAACAGGAGAGGCTGTGTGGGACAAAGGGTCAGTTTAGAAGGTGTGGAAAGACAGAGTTAGAGGTGGAGGTTTGGAAGATAGTAGATAAAAGGAAGGCTTTGCCTTTGAGTGGGGTTCAGAATAATGTTGGGGAAATGCTAGACTTACACCTGGGTTTTTTGGAAGAAGCTGAACCCAAGGCTGTTGGTCGTAGAGGTTGGTAACAGATAGTTGAGATTCAGATAATAACTGTGTATATTGTGCACAAATGAGATTCTCGTTAGCCCTTCAAAAGAACTTTCCAATAGTATCATGCCATCAGAGAATAATTAAGGGACTATTGGAAAGATACTAGGATTTTTTTCCACACTGAGGGTGGAATTTAGGACTGCACATGTGCCACATACTAGGCGCATGCTTTACCGCTGAGCTAAATCATCGACCTTGAGGCAACTTTTTAATTTATTGACAATATAGGAAATAGTTGTTTCTGCCTTGTACAGAGAAGAGATCAAAATGAGTGACTTAAATTCTAAGGTCAGCTCTGTCACCAAGTGAACTGATCATGAGCAAGTTATCTTCTTTGAGGCTTGCTTTTGTTATTTTTAGTTTGAAGATTGGACTAGTTAACATGTAAACTATGTATAGAGATGTGATTTGTGGGGAGGTGAGACAGTTAATATTGGTTGTAGTTGGATTGAAGAAAGAGCATATTTGAAAGTCTTTTATTTCAATTTTTTTCTTGTCATAGGTCATTGTATAGTCTGGGTTCAGTGTTCCTTTCCAAACTGTAAAAAATGGAGGCAGCTGTGTAGGAATACGGACCCCTCAGTTCTTCCAGATAATTGGTTCTGTCACCAGAACACAGGTAAAAAAAAAAAAAGTAGTAATGTTTTTTCCTCCCCAGTTTTTATTGTTCCTCTTTTTTCCTCCTGCATGTATTCTTTAGTTAAGTATGATAGAAGTGTAGTTAGCATTCAAGGGGTCCTTGTAATGGCTGGGAGAAAGGATCTTCCTGTAGAGATAAGCCTGGATATAAAGGCAGGAGGACACACCATGCAGAGTTATGTTATGGGGAGGGGCCTGGAATCTGAAAATATATATTAAGTAAATTCCATTTTTTAATAAACTTGTCTAATTCTGTCAGTCCTTATTAAAATATTGGATTGGGTTGGTGGACAGGGAGGGATATGAGATAGAGGAGGAAAAGCAGGTGAGAAGCAGTGAGCTTAGAATTGTACAATGTTTAAAACTACTTGGAAGATATTATAATGATCTTATCCAGCGCATTTATTTTACAGATGAAAAAACAGTCTCAGAGAAATTACCCCCATTCTGCTCCATAGTTGGGAGCAGAGTCACATTGGGGGGATGTAAGCAAGAGGTTGGAATTTCTGTAAAGCTCCATGAAGAAATAGGCAGCACTCCTACTTCTGCAGTTTGTCCATGAGTGTGTTCTTTTTCCCCTGGTTCCCTTTGGTGCCCCCTGTTAACTGTACCCTCCTTTTGTCCTCTCCTGGGCTGCATCTAGGTTTTTACTCATGGGTCTCTTGGTGTTCCTTCATTCTTTCTCTCTTGGCAGATGTGAATTATAATTGCTGTGACATTCCTGAGGAGGCCTGGACAGGGCCTGAGAGTGAAGTGGTCTATGCCTGCTATGTCCCAGGATCCATCGTCTGGGCCAAGCAGTATGGTTACCCCTGGTAGGGAACCATGACATAGTAGGGGCATCTTTTCCAAACATGGGAATGATGGATTCAAGCAGGGAGGGAAGGAAATGGGAAACGTAATGGAGACAATAATTGCCTTAGAGGGAATATGGCAGGCCGGGAATTTAGCTCACCTGCCTCGCAAGCACAAGGTCCTGAGTTTGATCCCAGGTACAAAAAAAAGAAAAGTGGGAGCATGGCGTGAGGGAGAAAGAAAATACCTAGCCTGGAGGCTTTGATTATGTTTTCTGAAGGTTTCAGAGAGGGTGGTATCTGTCTGGAAAAGAAGCTCTGACTCTGCTGCCATAATTGGCTAGAAAAGAAGAGGCAGCCGAGGCGTTATAAAATTGAGATGTGGGAAGCATGTAAAGGAAAGCAGATAAGGACTGATGGAAGTCACTTTAATCATTTGGTCGTGGCCACTGGAAGGGACTAACCTGGGGAATATGTGTTTTGGATCTTTTATTCACAGAATACCTGGCCCTTTTCTGTACGTGTATATTGATGAGGTGGTATTCTGTTCACCTAACCCCTCCTCTTCCATCTCCTATCTTCTCCAGGTGGCCAGGAATGATAGAATCCGATCCTGACCTGGGGGAATATTTTCTTTTTGCTTCTCATCTTCATTCTGTGCCGGTGAGTTTCCTGCTTCAGGCCAAAGTAATGAACACATTCATCCCAAGAGATGTTTAGAGTTAGAAACATAGGCATAGCCAGCAGACACAAGTGGAAATAGACATTTAGCTAGAGTAACAAACATGGCGGTAAATACTCGCACATAGAACTGAAGTTGAATCTAATTAAATATCCATTAATAGGACATTTATGGTTTTGATAATTATGCTAGGATTGTGATAATTGGCTAGCATCCCTGAGGTCAGAATGGAACAGTAAAATGAGGTGAGGTGGGTAAGTCAGGCTTCAGGCAGCTTATGACGCCAAGCACTTTCTTTATGATTCATCCTGTCTTCCTCCACCTTTTCTGGCAAGAAGAGAAAAGCAGGGAGAAGAACAGGAGCCAAAATGACCATATCTTTTATTGCAGTCTAAGTACCATGTGACCTTTTTTGGAGAAGCAGTTTCTCGTGCTTGGATTCCAGTGAACATGCTAAAGAATTTCCAAGAGCTATGCCTGGAACAAACAGGAGTGGTGAGCAAACTTTGGGAGTCTGTTGTGGTACGGGGACCTGGAAATGGAAATATCTGCTTTATTAAACCCAGTCTGCCCCCAGGGGAAACTGTTGGGAGAAAGTACTATGTCTGACCAGGTGTGCCAGGGCTGAGTTACCAATGAGGGACTCATCTTTCTACCAGGGTTGCAGCGAGGTCATAATTTCAGTCTCCTTACCTGGCTGAAGATAGGAGAGCTTTTTAAAAAAATCAGTTGTATTGGTATACTTTAGATAGACATAATAATTTCATATTCATCATGTGGAATTTGTACCTATACATAATATATTTTGATTCTTTCCCCCCAATCTCCTTCCCTTTCTTCAACCCCTCTTCCCCTCCTTATTTACAAAGATTTAAAGTGGGTTTTTATTATTATT